AGCACTCAGGCTAGGGTCAGAGGTCAGACTCGGGCCAGGGTCAGCCCGACGACAGCACTCAGGCTAGGGTGTCAGGGGTCAGACTCGGGCCAGGGTCAGCCCGACGACAGCACTCAGGCAGGGTCAGGGGTCAGGTCGGCCTGAGGACAGAGAGCAGGCAGGCCAGGGTCAGGCTAGGTCAGGGCAGGTTGGGGAGTCCGTCCTACCTGCCCACTGAAGCCGATCCCATCAGGGGACTTGAGGAACTCCGCGTAGACCTGGTTGGCCCGCTCGATGACGGTGGCCACCGCGTCCTGGTAGTGTGGGGAGGAGATGGCCAGCAGGGGCAGGACGGCCAGAGGGACGTGGTCCTGGCTGTTGCCGAGGCAGCCCTCATCATGGCTGTAGGGGTTCAGGCTGCAGACAGGGTCAAGGGAAGCCCAGCCAGGCTCAGGAGCGGCAGGTGTGGGGCTGCGCACCAGGCAGAGGGCGGCGCAGGCGCACGCTGGCCACAGTTAGGCCCCTGTTCGGGGCTCTAGAGGACAAGCCAGGCAAGAGCCAGAGTAAACAGGGCACAGGCGGGGGGCTTGGGGGGGCACTGTGCTGGCTCCCCTGTGCATCTGTGCCTGCACCAGCCTGGGCTGTGGGCCTGGGGTTCCCTAGGAGAGCTACCCTCCCCTTCCCTCTTCTGCTGGGCCCCAAGCGACACCCCGATTGTGGAGGAAGCCACCTGGTGCGGATCAGGGTGGGGACATATCAGAGCAGACTTCCTGGAGGAGACGGAGTTTGGACTACGTCTCAAGGAAGGCTTTAGGGGCGCGAGAAAGGAGGAGAGAGCGCCTTCCAGGCGTGGGGTCCCATGTCAGCCACCACTTGCAGATGGGCACACAGCTGCACGCATGGCCTTGTGTCCGTCCTTCTCGGGAGAGGGTCAGAGCCTTCGTGGGCTTTGTGGAAAGGACCAAGAGAGCCTGCCCTACAGCGTCTTCACGGCCAGGAGACAGTCCAGCCCCCTCATTTCCCTGCTTTCTCACCAGCAAGTCTCTCCCTCTGTGGGTGGCTCAGACCCCTCTGGGGCCAGCTCCCAGAGCCCACCCCAGCCCACACCCCCGCCTGGCCTGCCTCTGTCCCCTGGCCGGGAGGGACCAGCCCCCTGCCCACGGCCCAAGCTCAGGCTGACGAGGGCCCAGTGCTGATCCTGCTGGGGACCTGACAGAGACCAGGACAGGCGACGGGGCTCAGGGTTTTCTGAGCAGGTGGCAGAGCCCTCATGTGCGCAAGCTGGCCTAACAGCCCTTGCTCATCTCCGAAGAACACAAATTAGAGGAAACAGGCCTCAATTGCAGCCGGAGAGATTTTAATTAGCTGAGCAAGAACTCCCTCCCGGCAGTGACTGGTGTGATGGATGTGGCCAGGCAAGGGGCTGCCTGGGGGAGAAAGGCCGTTCCCCCACCCTCCCCTCGAGGGGCCGGGCTACGCATCTTGCAGGTGATCAGGCCGGGGCTGGCTGACCCAGCTCTGGAGGTCAGACGTCCTGTGGGCGAGGGCCTGGGGTCCTGAGATCAAGAGCACAGTAACTCCTGACAGCCGGAGCGGGGAAGAGGCCACTTCCCAAGTCCCATCGCAGGGCAGGTGCCCAGGACACAGGTTCCAGGGCTCCTGCCCTCCTGACCGGGGACCCCAGGGTGAGCCCTGGAGTTCTGGTTTGAACAAGAGTCGCGTCGGGCTGGGGAGCTATGACTCATCCTGCCCCTCCTTCCAGCTCGGATGGAGACCGGCTCTGTGTGTCCCGTGACCGCAGACGGTCAGAGGGGGGCTGCTCTGGGTGCTGGAGGCAGCGGAGACCCTCCTGTCTCTCAGAGGGAGGAGTGAACCCCGCACGCACTGCTTTCTCCCCCAGGGCCCAGGGGCAGGCTTGGGCGAAGAGGCCCGGCCCAGTGAGCACGCTGCCCCATGCCCTCCACCGAGAGCGCCGGCCCCCGGTGAGGACGAAGTGAGTCACAGCTCACCCCTCACTGTACCTGCTGCACCAGCATGCGGGACCCCCACAAAATCTCCAGCGGGTACCTAGGACATGATTATCCCCATCTTACAGATGGGGAAACCAGCACAGGGCAGTCTCCTGGGTCCTCCTCGGTGCCCTGCGCCGCCTGCATCAGAACACACATGCCCACTGGGCTCAAGAGCGAGGCTGCCCGGGTTGGACTCCCGGCTCCAGTCCCTGGGTGCCCCCGGGGGGATTTGCATTAGCTTCTCGGGGCCTCGGGCCCCTCCTCTGGGCCAGGAGACCAGGGTCTCGTGAGCACCGGGAGCAGGTCTGCACCCCCGAGGGGGCTGGCGCCACCCGGCCCGGCAGAGGACGACACGCTGCGTGGCTGTTCACTGCTCTGGACTCTGCCCACTTCCCAGCACTGTGCTCCGGTCGGTCAGGGGCTGACGTCCCAGGGCGGTGCCCCGGGCAGGGGGCCGCCCCATGTCATCCCCACCAACCCCGGCCCGTCCAAAAGGGCAGGAAGGACTTAGAGACTCACTGAGAGACGAGTGAGGAGGCGTCCGAGCAGACAGCCGGGCAGGGCACGAACTTGATGAGGATGTGTCCCAGGGCCGCCGGGAAGTGGGCACGCGTGACCTTCTCCAGCACAGAGCTGAAAGTGTGGATGTCGGCCGCCTTGCAGGACGGGTCCCCCACGCCCGTGTCCAGGATGTTCCCGCCATGCAGCACCAGCAGGAGGACGTGCGTCTTGCAGGAGCGCTGTGGGCAGCCTTCCTGAGAAGGACATCAGTCGGGGTAGAGACAGAGGCAGGGACCCACCATCGCACGCACAGCTGTGGCTGGCCTGTCTCCACCCCCGACGTGGCAGGGCCTCCTGTGCATTCAGAGGGAGGCGCACAGGCAGCCGGGCGACCAAGCCCCCCATTGTCGGGGCAGGAAAGCTCCTAAGAGGCCCTTCTTGTTCACACGGGAGCCAGCAGCCTGGAGGACAAGCCCAGGGTCCCACGGCAAGTCCAAGGATGAGGCAGTCAAATGTCTGCCCGAAACGCTGACCAGAGGGGGGCCCAGACACCCCCAGGAGCCCAGCCCACCTCGTTGTCTTCGTGGATCTCGATGCTTCCCTGGGCTGGGAACCTCTGTCTTCTCAAGGAGACCCGATACAGTTCTCCTGCGGGGGAACAGAGGACTCAGCACCTGCAGGCCTCCCTCAGGCCGGGGCCGCAGGTGCTCCCTGGGGTCCAGCTGGAGGGACAGCGTCCAGCCCCCGGCTCCAGATCAGCGGCACCAGAAACCTTCGTTCCCCGCCCCCCCAGGAAGGGAGGCCAGCAGGGGCAGGCCCCCGCACGCGCAGTCCCTGGGGCCAGGGAGGCTGTCCCAGAAAGCACCGTCCTGTTTTCTTCACCCGTGACAACAGCAACAGCAGAAATGCCCTCTGCTGACCCCGGCTTCCAGCTGTGGACGCAAATGTGGGCCGAGCATCCTCTGAAAACCGGAGGCCCGTCTGAAGTATCTTTTAAAACATCTGCTTGAAGCCATCAGAGCGAGAGCAAGGCCTTGAGTTAGGGGCCTGGGGCAGGCACAGCCCCAGAGAGGCATGGCAGCGTCGGGCCCACGCTCCTCACCACTGGGAGCTCTGCCGTGAGGCTGCCCCCACGGGAAGGCTGTCCCCGCCTCCCCCAGCTGCCACTCCGCCTCTGGGGCCTCCAGCCTGAGCCCTGGGACCCGCAAGCAGCAGCCGCAGACCAACCCTGGCCCGCCACCTGTTTTTGTCAATAAAGTTTTATTGGAACACGGCTGGAGCGCGTGTCTGCTCACACAGGGGCCTCGGCAGCAGACTTTCCTAGTTGCCACAGAGTCCTGCAGAGCTGGCATATCTGCCCTCCGGCCCTTACAGAGAAGTCTGTGCGATCGATACCTACGTTCCCGAATGTCGCCGCCCCGGAGTCGGGTGGAGAGAGGCCCCCTCGCCGCCCGCCTGGTGCCACCTGCCACGCTGACCTTGCTTCCTTCCTCTCCCTGCTCCCCACGGGAAGGATAGCATTTTCTCCATGAGGCTGCACCACACGGCTAGACTATGACTTGTGTGCCTTCAGTGACGGGGAACTCACTCACCTCCTAGAGCAGCTGGTTCCATGCTGGGACGGTCCTTTGTTTCCTTGCACACACACACACACACACACACACACCGCCCCCGCCCAGAGCCTGCCCCACCTGCTAGGAGGCACGTGGGGATGCGGAGGCTCCTTCCGGGGACTCTGCGGGCAAGCCTGCAGCAGGGAAGGGTGGGAGCCCGGCCGAGGGTCTGAGTCCCCTCTCCCAGCCACCCCTGGCCCCACGGTGTTTGGTAACAAGAAGTCTTTCTTGGAGGGCAAGTGCATTTCTGAACTCTTCGATCGTACAGACATGGCCCTGGTCTAAGGGCAACCGCTTTACGAGCGCAGGGCTGCCACCCACACAGGCGTGGGATGGTTTCCTCTATGATGGAGGTTTGGCCTGGAAATGGAGCAGGGAAACCTCGGGGTGAGGGAGGCCTGGCTCGGCCCGCACTTCCTCCAGCTCCTCTGGCCGCTCGGCTCTTCGTAACATCCTGTGGGCCCTGGGCCCCGACCTCAGGACGGGCCCCCAGTACAACACACGGTGAGCTGGCCCGGCTTCTGCCGAGCACTTACTGTGTCCCGGGCGCCGTCTCCAACTCCCCACAACCGCCCCGGGGCTTTGGATCTCTGGGTATTAGTCCCATTTTCGGATGAGACAGCCAGGCCTCACACCTCCTGGGTCACGCGCCCCAGGCCCCACCATGAGTAAGGCTGAGTGAGCCTGCACACAAGCCCCACACCCAACAGAGGACAATGCCCGACGGTGGTCCATCCTCCCCGGGGGGGGGGCTGACACCATGATCCCCGTCCGCAGGAGAGGAGACGCTCAGGCCACCCGGCACAGACCTCCCCGCCAGAGCAAAAAAGCCACGCTCCGTGGTGCGCGTGGCCTTGTGTGCGGCTCCGGGGCCGGTGCAGACCAGGAGACCATGACTTCTGAGGCTGGGGCGGACCTGCTTTGGAGCCAGAGTGCGCCTGAGTCCAAGTCTTGCTCTGAGCGGCTGTGTGAGCGGGGCTCGGTTTTCTCATCTGGGACATGGGGGATGGCAGCCGCCCAGGGCAGGGGCCGAGCATGAATGAGCTCAGACGTACACAGCGCTCAGAGCGGGGCCGGCCACACACCAAGTCTGTCCGTATCAGTCGTGCACGCGGAGGACGAGCTGGGGCCAGAGCTGGCGGGGACACGGCTGCCTCCACACACGCAGCCCTGCCCCAAGTCCCTCCTGAGCCTGGCGGCACTGCGCTTCCAGGCTGCAATTGCTACCGATTACCATCGTGAGCCTAGAAACAAGCCGCAGGGAAGACATGAGGGTCCCGCCGTCTCCCGGGCACCGTGCCTCCGCAAGCTGGGGCTGCATCCTGTGCCTTGGGCCCCCGCCATGCTCCGGGCAGCGAGCTGATGCTGCATCCTGGCCACCTGGCTCAGCGGGGACGGGCCCGGCAGGGCCCTCAGCACCCCCGCGCCTTCCCCGGCCAACGGGAAGAGCCTGGCTTCATTTCAGTGTGCAGAGCCAGAGAGGTTTGGCAGGAGGGGAGGCCTCACCCGCAGACCTAGATCCTGCCCCCGAGGGCAGGCTAACAGGCCTGGAGGTGCCCCCCGGGGTCACGTGCCTCTGCAGACATGCAGAAAGGCAGCCCTGCGGCCCCCCCCCCGCCTGCGCCTGGCCCACAAGCCTTCTGCTCTTCTGCGAACCAGACATTCCCCCCAGGGTAACTGAGGACACTGGCTCTGGCTCGCCCACCAGGCCCGGCAGGTTCACTCCTCCCTGTCTTGGCTCATGCTGAGCCTCTGCCGGCAAGGCCTTCCTCCCTGGGCACACCAGCAAACTCCTACCTGTATCGCAAAACCCTGCTCACCTGTTCCAGCCTCTGGAAAGCCTGCTCAGATCTACTTAGGCAGAGATGGTCACCTCACACCGTGCTCGGCTGGGCCTGGCTCATTGCCGTGAGGTTACTTGTCCATTTCTGCATCAAACTCGGGGGTCCCCCGAAAGCAGGATCATCAGCGGCCAGGGTCTAGCATGGTGTTTTTGTGAGAACCCACTGCAGGCGAAGATCCCAGGGTGAACGTGGCCTGTGAGACATCTCATGCTCGTCAGCCGCTGGGAGAAATCCCGTTTAGGGAAGCGAAGTCTACGGGGACGTGCATCTCCTGGAAGGCCCCCGGGGGGCTGGTGTCCGGGAACCACGGCGAGCTCTGGGTCTGGCCTGGGCCTTATGTGTCCTCCCCTCCACGGGCTTCCCCAGAGCCTCCGGTGACGGGAGCGGCTGGTGGGGTCCTGGGAGGTGAGGAGCCCAGGGCCGCGTGGGCCGGCCGCCTGTTTCTCCTGATGTCTTTGTTTCCGCCGGCACGGCCCTATTCAGGCGGGGTCCCTGCGGTGTGGGGTTCTGGGTGGGGTGCGCCCATGACTGTTTCTGTGACCGTGTCCTGTGACCGCAGCGCCCGCCCCCAGCACCCTGCCGGCCCGCCCAGCTCCCCGGGCTCCTGCTGCCAGCTGGAGAGGGGAGGCTGTATTCGCTTAATCACAGCCTTGGAAACGCACAGATTGTGACCACCCTTCTAATTACCCAAGTGCCACACTGTCCCTGACACAGAAGCCGAAGTCAGCACCCACGCGCTTGGCACGCCAGGCAAAGCGTCCCCGGCTCGGCAGAGGGACTGTCTCCATCTCTGCTGCCGCCAGCCACGGGACCCACGAGGGCTGGAGGCCGTGGGTGCCCCCGGCTGAGGCTGGCCGCTCCATCCCACCAGCCCCTGCGGGCCCCCACCTGCCGCTCGTGCCCCCAGGCGAGCAGAGCCGGGCCCAGCTCGCGACCGTGTGGCACGCCCTGAGAGCGACCCCATCCTCCGTGCGCACGCACGGGCGTAATTCTGCGGACGAACCCCGAGTCTCTGCTGCCTGCTCTGAGCGGGATGCAGGATGTGGACCAGGAGTGTCTGCGAGGAACGAGAGCTTCATCCCCCGCGAGTGGGGGGGGAGCTCCGTGGCCCCGAGCCCCCAAGTGAACGCGTGCAGACAGGCACACACATGGGGGGCAGGGGGGGGAAGAGCCGGGGTTGAGGACGGGCGCCCCCGTCTGCGAGGTTTTGTTTGGATGGGGGGACAACGGGTGACCGTTCCCTGGACTCCGCGCTACTTTCCCATTTTTCTCCGGTGAGCCCGATTTCCTTCGGTGTAAAGCCATTTGTGAGTGCATGTGTCACACTTAGAGCAAGAACACTTTAAACCAGCCGCAACCCCTACCTTCCCAAACACACACACCAGAGCGGCAGGCCTGCCCTCGGGAGCTGGGGGCTGGCGAGGGGAACCAAGGGCGCGAAAAGGGGAAGGACGGCGTAACCGTGAGACTCGACGCGCGAATCAAAATCCTGCGTTTGGGTCACAAAACCAGCTGGACACCACGGCGGCCTCCTGCTCCGCTGGCTGGGGCCCAAACGCGTGTCCGGGAGCCCGAGGACCTCAAGAACACGGGCCTCGGCCGGGCAGGGGGCCGCCTCCACGGCCTTCAGTGCAGGAGGAGGGCACGTTCCTGCAGCTCAGGCCACTCTGGGGGCTCAGATGGAACCCAGTAACCGGGCAGGGGGAGGGGGCCCTCGCCTGGGGAGGAGCAGGCTCGAGGGGACGCGGTGGCCCGCAAATGCCCGGGAGCTGCATTTGGGTCACGGGACTGAGGGCAGAGCCTGGCCACCAAGGTGGGGCGGTGTCTGAAGGGTGCACAACCGTCCCGGAGGGAGGCTGTATGAGCAAGCTGTGGAAGTGGACGCCGGGCAGGTGGACGCCGGGCAGGGACTCCAGGCAGGTCAGGGCCCAACCCCGTCATCCAGGCTGAGGAGGCTCAACCCCCAGTGGCCGGTCAGGCCCCCAGAGGCGCTGGCCCACACAGAGGCCTGGCCACTGCCCTGCGGAGCGAGCCTGCGGGGGCAGGGGGAGGAACCGCCACGGAGCCCACTCGGCCCTGCTGGGAAGTGGGCACAGAGACAAGGAGTCATCAGCGTGCTCCCACCGGCGCACGCCTGCCCACTAACCCCCTGCCGCGTCCAGAGAAAGGACAGGGCACGGCTTCGAAGCAT